ACTGTGTCATTCCCCTCCTGATTGCATTGCACACTGACCCAGGGCATCTGTCATGACCTGTGCCAGCCTTGTGCATGGCACACTGTTAAACTCGTTTGAAGAATTCATGATACTTGGATGAGTATGAAGCTGGAGACTGAACTGGACTCACTGAGGCAACACCCATGGACCTCATAGGACTGGGATAGGAGCCACCTCTGAGTGCCCTGGGTTGGGACCCCTGGCTAGGAGTGTGGGCACCAGGAGGTGCCAAACCCAGGAGACACCACAGGTGCTCCCGTAGGGACAAAAAACAGTCCCACAGTGCTGTGTAGACTCTGCCCCATTTTCCACCCTCCTAGGAGCCAAGACTCTCCACTGTCTGCCTCCCTCAAACTAGGGTAATCTGCACAGGAAGGAACTCACTGAGGAGTAAGGGTGGGAGGAACCAGAAAGAGAGAGATGGTTCACAGGGACCAAAAAGATCCTCACATGCCTCTGGGGAAATTAAGAGGACCCTCAAGTGGCTCCCAAGGAGCAGGGCCACTCTGGTGGAGAAAGGGCCAGAGCTAGCACCTTTAGGCCCAAGGCAGGTTAAAGGGCAGAGTCCTGTTGATCTGTGGGAGATGACAGCAAAAAAGCAAGGATTTTTTGCATTTCTAGTCCCTCCCTCAGGCCCTCAGAAGGAGGGGCCTATTCTGACACAGTTTTCCAAGTTCCAGGTGAGGGAGGCCCCAGTTGAGGGAGGCCCCAAGAGAGCTGCTGGCCAGGTGCCTACAGGAACATGTTTGTTGAGACATTTAATATTCCCTTGGCAACAGCTCCTGGGAATTTCCCAGGAGTCTCTAGGTAACCAGATACCCTTGAGGAAACTGATCCCCAGGAGTAGAGCGGCTGGCTGTGGTATTACAGTACTGCCTGTTTGGTCAGCCGGAGTATAGGGGAGACACCCCGCTCTCCTGGGACACTGATGCTGTGGCCAGAATACAGAAATGTAAAGCCCCTGGCTTTTTCATCAGTGTTGCTTATAAGGGCTCTTAAGACTTTTCAACAAAAGACAGAAATTCTGGGGTTTGAAAGCCTATAGGTCAAGTCAACACTGGGGCCTCGGGGGTAGCATGTGTGGCTTTGGTTGATTCTAGTCCCCAACAAGTGTGGGTTATGTATTTGCTGAGGACACTCTGTGGAGATGCTTCTAACTCCTGCCTGATCTAACATTAAACACTGTGCCCCTGCCTCCCCAGGCTCCCCAGCCCCCTGACTCCCTCTACCACCCCAGAGCTGCACTCAGGCCTCCCACTCTCTATGGCCCTGGTACTTGCCCAGGAATGAAGGGTCTGAAAATTTTTCCTACCTCCAGCCAAGCCAGCGAGGCATGAAGTGCAGGTGGTGGGTCCTTGCAGAGCTGTGGGCAAGGGCTCAGGTACCAGCACACATACATAGCTCCTTCAGGCCCCCCGGGCTATAGGAGGTGAGTATGATTGTCCATAGACTCTCAGGTAAGGCTGAGCAAAAGGGTGGTCCAGGCTGGTCCAGGAGCAGCAGAGAGGCTGGCTCTGCTGCCCACGCTGGGCTGGGCCATTCCTCCATGAAAATTCCCTGGGGTGGGGTGAGGTGAGAAAACCAAGGAGCAAGAACATACTTAGGTGAACTGGGAGGATGGATCTGCTGCCTGGGGTGGGTATAGGTGGGGTGGGGTGGGGTTACAGTGCCACTAGGGGTGGGGTGGAGGGATGAATGGGTGTGGTCTGTCATTCTTCTCCACTCTGCTCTCTGTCTCAGCGAACAACATCTCTGAAGCCCTCTACCTCTGGGTTCCAGGTGGGTTTGGCCATTGGGAGGTAACTGCAGAGCACAGGAGACCAGAGGAGAGCAGTAGATGATTACCCAATTCTGTCGTTCGGGAGCACTGCTAACAAACTCCAGGTGACCCCAATGTGGCTGATCCTTGGACTTCGGAGAAGCAAGGATCAGGGAGATTTTTATTTTCCTAAAACAATGTGCCAGGTGTTCTGTTAGATGCTGCATCACAAAGGTGAAACAAATAGATCTGTTTGTGGTTAGACACAATCAGATGACAATCACATAGACGAGTGCTGCAAAGGACAGACAGGAGACTGTGAAAGGTTGGGTCCTCAGGGCAACTTCCTGGACACTTTGATGGGATGTTATATGAACTGAAACCCAGAGAAGGGATGGGGTGGGGGGCAGGAGGTTTGAGGAGTAGCCCAAGAGCATAGGCTGGGTGACAGAGGGACTGTGTGTTTTCTATGGTCTGTGCTCAGCCTGGCTCCTCAGTGAGTCCAGAAGCTCGGGTCACCTGGCACGGAATGAGTGAGTGAGCAAGTCAGCTTCAGTGGCTCCTCCTTCTCCAGCAAACGGGACAGCACCTGAAGGTGACTGCCCATGGATCAGCCCCACCCCCACCCCAGGCCTGAATCCAACCTCCAGGAAGGTCTCCAGGTGCTGGCAGCTGGTGCTCTTAGACACTTGGCTGCTCAGCTGGCAGCCACACCCAGACAGCCTGGCGCCTGAGCTTGGCTAGTCATTCCCCCCAAACAAGACTGTTCTGGAGCATGCATTAAAAAGAGGCAGCAGCAGGGTGCAGATTGCTGCCCTGGGACACAGCCTCCTAATGTGAGGGCAGACTGGCCCAGGTACACAGATACTGACGGCGGCCAGCATGCCTCTTCCTGCTGACCCTTGTGTGTTTTAGCTTCCCCTCCATGTCTTATCCCAGGTAACAGTGACATGGTAGTATTTCCCCTCATTCCCTTGTCACATTAGGGTTTTGCCAGTGTCTTAAGAGCAACAGAAGCCATCAAGGGTTATGTACGGGGTTATCTACGGTCCGTAGGCCTGCAACATGAGAACAGGCTATGAGGAGAGAGGAAAGAGAAAGGGGAAACATGGAGTGAGGCCCTGCAGTGGGTGCAGTAGCCCTGTTATAAGCTCAGGGGTCCCTGGGGCTGCAGAAACCGGGAGTCAGGACTGCACTGAGCACAAAGGTCAGCCTGCCCTCAGAGAGTGGTACTGGGAGAGGAAAGGATGCCAGGCCTGTCTCTGAGGGAGTGGGCACTAGCCAGGATGGGGACTGTGTAGACTTTGAGGATCCCTGCTTATTTGTCCCTGTGCTGAGATTCTTGAGTGCGGCAGGGTCTGTGGGACCCTTAGTAGTGCAGCCAGGAGGGCCATGGGGAGACTGCACAGAGCTTGGAGGAAGACCTGAGGGGCAGAGTAGGGAATAGAGGTGAGACTCAGGGATGGGTCGTAGCTGGGCACCTGGAGGAACAGGGGCCTCCTGGTCTGAGGAGAAGGATGGAAGACCAGGGCGTCCCCCACACCTCTGATCTAGAGCTTCTAACAAGGGCAGCTTGGGCAGTGGTGGCCATAGGGAACAGTCAGACACTCTGTCACTGGAGGCTTATAGTGGTCCTGGCTTAGCCTGGACCACAGGCTCAGGCAGGTGTGGGAGGCAGAGGTGGGAGCCCAAGGGTCAAGGTGGCCCTCCTCAGAGGGGCTGCAGCACAGGGAGAGGTAGAGGAGACTCAGGCCCTGAGGAAATCTCAGCATCTCCATGGAAGGTGCTGTGTGTCAGTCACCTAGAAAGGACACTCCTAGGTAGGCCTCTGGTTTCAGAAGGCCCCAGGCATGGGAGATTCAATTCCTTGCACCCATAGGCATTGTTCTGAGGCATAGAGAGGAGATGGCATCTCTCTCCACTCCAGAGCTCCACAAATCACACCATTGGGCCTCAGGACATGGTCCCAAGCCAGATGTTTTTAGACGCCTGGGTCAGCCTCCCCAGAACTCAGGCAGGTGGCAGTCTCAGCCTGAGCAGTGCACAGCTGCCATCCTCTCCAGCTCTGAGGTTTGTTACATACTTTCCTGCGAATTCCTCCAACAAGGAGTAAGGCACAGGCTGGGGGGCCCTTCCAGCTCTGACATTCTGGCCAGGCCCTTATTTTTGTTCTTTGTTTTTGTTTTTATTTTTTATTTTTATTTATTTATTTTTTTATTTATTTATTTATTTATTTATTTATTTATTTATTTATTTATACAAGCACTGGGTACAGTCAGAAGCGCGGGAGGGTGAGAGAATTCACCAGAGCCAGAGAGGGGAGCAGAGCAGGCAGAAGGACCGAAGTACACTGCTGAGGGGAGCAGCGGGCGGCAGGAGACCCTGTGCGCCATGCGGGACCCTCCTCTGGTGGCCGGGGAGCAGCTGGGGATCGAACTGGCGCTGCAGAGGCTGCGGCAGCTTTGCAACCCAGCGCTCAACCACTGCGCCACCTGGGAGGCCTTGTTCTTTGTTTTTAATCTTTAAACTTCAGTTAAAAAGGTTTATAAAAAGCAACAACAACAAAAAAGTGCCTCTTGATCTTATCTGATTCTGACCTGATCTGATTCTGTACGTGCTGTATCCTGACTCATCCTCTTAGCTTCTCACCTGTGAAATGGGCCCTGTGGAAAGAGTGAGGTTGGGCTTCACAGCTCACCTGCCCACTGGACAGCCCTGGGGGCCTAGAGGCAGCAGAGGTTATTCTGATGCGCTCAGGAAGAAAAGAAATCCTGGTCAAAGGGAGGATTCAAAGCCTTCTGCCCAGAATCTGGGAGCATTGCCTGGGAATCTCCCTTAAAATACACACACACACACACATTCACAAGAACACACACACATTCACACATGTATGCTGCCTCATCAGACCGTCAGTGGACAGACACCCAGTGCAGAGCAACCGGGCATGTGCACCCGTAGCTCCACTACTTAAAGGTGGAGACAGACTGTGGCTGTGTCGCCATAACTGCAACACTCCTTCCTTTGTGCCTCACTAGACACAGTGTGGCCACCAACCCCAAGAGCAGCTCCAGGCTGGGTCGACACTGAAGCAGGTGGCCAGCAGAGCAGTCAGGGGTGCTAAGGATGGAAGACAGCTGGGAATCTGGGCACAGCTAACACCCTGAGCTCCCTGTGCCCTTGACTTCTCTGTGGGCTCAAGAAAGAAGCACCATACTTTAGGATGAATCCTTCTACAGGGTCAAGATTCCAACCAGGCCTGGCACCAGATCCCAGCTGCATGAGCACCTCAGCCTCACCCAGTAGGTGGGACAGCTCCCAAAGCAGTGCCTCCAGTCTGAGCCAACTTCAACCCATCAGCCCTACGGTAAGCCTGGGGTGAGCATGTGCATGCACAGAGCCTTCCCTCTCCTTTGGTCCCCCTCTTGGGTTTTAATGGGGCTATAGAAAAGGCCTGAGCTCTGCTGTAGGACCCTGGGCATGTTACTAGGCTTCTCTGAGCCTGCTGTGCACAAAGAGGCCAATCAATCGAGGACCGTATGGGCAATGTTCTACCTGGAGAACATTCAAGGAACAGAAAGGCTGTAGGACAAGGGACTTAAATGGCCCAGACCTGCCCTTGGCTACATATACCCCTTTCTGAGGATGCTTCTCAGAATCTTCCAAGAAGGAAGATTTTGGGTTTCTGGGTTTCTGAAATTATTCAGCCCAGAGTGAGGCATTGGATGCTTTCTGGTGTCTCTATCATTCTACCCAGGGTCCCAAGGCCAGATTTGATCAATGCTACCATTAACTCAGGGGTGCTGAGGGTACCCTCAGGAGTCTGGGATACTGGTCTAGGTCCTGGACAGGATGGGAAGGCTCCAGGGCTATAGGAGCCAGAGCAGGACAGAGACTAAGTCACATCCCTTCCCCAGAAAGGAATTGGGAAGAAGGGGTAAATTCCTTTGTTCTAGACACATAGGGCCATGACCACCCTACTGTGACCCTAAAAACATTTTTTGGGGATGGATAATGTGATGCCCTTGTTTCTCTCTCTCTCCATAGGGATCTGGGGCTCAGGAGGCTGTCTGGGCCCCCTTCCCCACAGTCAATGTGCCAGACTACGCCCACTATACTCTGGGCACAGTGATCCTACTGGTGGGGCTCACAGGGATGCTGGGCAACATGACTGTCATCTACACCTTTTGCAGGTGCCTGGGTGCAGGGATCTGGGCATTGATGGCAGTGGGCCATACATACAGAAGACAGGAAAGAACAGAGTGCAGAGATGATGGTGCCAGCTCTCTAGGGTACTATTGAGTCTGGGTGGGAGGTTAACACCAAGTCCTTGATGGTCTCAGGCCTAGTCCCCCATCTTCAAGCCCAAAGAAGGGGTCAAAAAGTAGTCCAGGGCATCTTGAGTGACACATGCCAATTGTGTTGCAGGCATACCGTCTGCATTAGACAGGTGCTTCTAGGATATGCAGGCCTCTGCCCATTCTGCTGTGCTCTCAGCTCATCTCACCACCATCTGCCCCAGCATGTGGGGATCCTTCTCTTCCTTGAAGAGCAGCTCTGGCACCAGAGTTCTGGGTCCTCGGGCCCCTCAGCAACCACTCCTGGCTTCCTTCCCTACCTGCCCCATTCACAGACAAAATGGCAAAGGCAGGAAGGTAGAGAATGAATGCCTGACTCTACCACCTATTAGCTGAAATGACTCTGGGCCAGTCATTTATGTTGGTTGAGTCCACTTTTCTTGGTTGCAAAATGGAGTTGTGATTTACTTCATGGAGTCAATGTGGTAATTAAGTAAGCTCATGCATGTGCAGTGCCCAGCGAATGATTGAATCCTGGCTGAGCCACGTACTGAGTTCTGTGATGTGAGCAAGCCAGGTCACCAATGGCAGCCTTGCTGCTCTTCCCTGGAAAATGGGAGGTAGATGCAAAGATGATCACAGGAGATGAGGTTTGTGAAACTGCCTGCTTTGGGGTTCCAATTGTCAGTTCTTCTGCTCTTTGCCACCCCTGAGGGAGAGGTTTGCAGATACAGCTGTGCTGTATCTGGGTTGCGACATGGCAGAGGAAGAAGGAGAACAAGAAGGAGTGACTGAGGAGCTTGTGGGAAGGTACTGTCTGGGCATGCAGGAGGAGGAGAAGGAGGAGTCTGGGGAGATGCCTTGAAAGAGACCTGGGCCTGGAGGGACTCAGGAAATAAGCAATGCATCTAAGGAGAAAGTGTGGGACCCCCAGAGGGAATACGAAGAACAAGAGGAAGAAATGGTCACATCCAAAACCCAGCTTCCACAGGGCTGCACAGCAGCTCTGGAGAATTGTTCTCCCTTTCCTTGTGAGGGAACCACCCTCAGCTGCCACCTTGAGGGGTCCCACTCCTCAGTCTGCCCTGCTGGGCTCCAGGGCTGGTTGGCTGGTACTTGCTGGGCAGTGGGATGGGTCTGTGGCCCAGCAGTGGGGGCTGTCTGTCTGCAAGCATGCTTATGCATGTGTGTGTGTACGCAGGCATGTGTGTGTGTGTGTGTGTGCACATGTTGGCGCACATATGTGCATGCATAGTGGAGGAAAGCGCCCCAGCAGAAGTACCTCCTGACAATCTCCAATCCCTCACAGGAGCAGAGGCCTCAGGACACCTGCCAACATGTTCATTATCAACCTCGCCGTCAGCGACTTCCTCATGTCCTTCACCCAGGCTCCTGTCTTCTTTGCCAGCAGTCTCTACAAGCAGTGGCTCTTTGGGGAGACCGGTAGACACTCTGGGTTCCCTTTTGCTGGAGGGAGGGAGAGGGTGATGACGGTGGGGGGGTCGCCCACAGTGGAGGGTAAGCCTGGGGAGGGGGTGATTTTCTTATCCTGGGTAACCACCTCAGGCCTATGAGTGAGCAAGAGGGAAGACTCCATTTCCATTTCCAAGGGCTCTGCCAGCCTCTGTAGCAAGTAGGCAGGGTAGAGGGACACATAGATCTGCTTTTCTTGAGAGGTGAGAGCAGGAACAGAGCACATGCCATCCCCAGACCCTCCCTCCCCCTGGAGACCTCATGACTGTCTGCCAGGGGCTGAGGTCAGGGAGCTGTGCCCACAGGCTGTGAGTTCTATGCCTTCTGTGGGGCTCTCTTTGGCATCACCTCCATGATTACCCTGACGGCCATTGCCCTGGACCGCTACCTGGTGATCACGCGCCCACTGGCCACCATCGGGGTGGTATCCAAGAGGCGGGCGGCACTTGTCCTGCTGGGCGTCTGGCTCTATGCCCTGGCCTGGAGCCTGCCACCCTTCTTTGGCTGGAGTAAGTGGCTGGTGGAATTGGGGAAGGGAAACTAGGCTGGGAGGGGCATGTTCAAAGGGCAGGGAGGTGGACTTAGGTGAACCAGTTGGCAAGAGGGGACAAGGGATTGCCTAAACCTTGAGTCAGATAACCATTTAGGAGGCATGACTAGCAGCAAGGGAAACTGAGGCTTCACCATCAGTGATCAATGATCTGGGCTCTCACCCCCAAATACATGGGATACTGAGTCAGACAGGCTGGGGTGGGGTGTGAGGCCTCAGCAGGGAAGAAGGTTAGCAGCAATATACCCACTTTTCTGGATCAGGACCAGGAAGCTGGCTCATCCTGGGGCTATGGTGAGGTCTCTGCTCCAAATTGGCAAGAATGGGCAGCTGAAGCCTTTGCTATCTGTCCCCTGGACTGGTGCCCCTGCCAGAACCAGCTTGGAAATCTCCCTTTCATGTGCCCCTGGCTTTCTCTGCACTAGGCAAGGCTGAGGTGGGGCAGTACTTGGGGATCCCAGACCCCACATCCAGAGGTGCTGCTAGATGAGGAACATGAATCTGCACTGCGTCTGAGACTGAGCTCCTTCCCTGGCTCCCAGGTGCCTACGTGCCGGAGGGGCTGCTGACCTCCTGCTCCTGGGACTACATGCGCTTCACGCCATCCTTCCGTGCCTACACCATGCTGCTCTTCTGCTTCGTGTTCTTCCTCCCTCTGCTTGTCATTGTCTACTGCTACATCTTCATCTTCAGAGCCATCCGGGAGACAGGCCAGTAAGCTGGACATGGAGGAGAGACTGTGCCCCTTTTCCGGGGCCACCCCTGGGCTATCCCAAGGCTCATTTCTGCATCCACCTCTGGGCACTCCCAGTTTCAGATGGGCAAAGACAAGCTTAAGGGGTGGGGTGTCTAGAGCCCAAAGCAAGACCCTTGGCTAAACCGGACCAGCACCACTAGGGGGCCGAGGGAAGACTCAGAAAATAAAGTACTGAAGAGGGTGTCTTCAGGCTTGGCTAGGGGGCCTGGGGAGGGGGTCAGAGAAGACACCACAGGTGCACCCACAGACAAGTAGCTGTGGTGGGTTGTTGGGGAATCAGGGCTCTTTCCACTGAGAGGAAAGATCCCTGCCAGTTTGCCTCTAGGGATGGTCCAGAGAGCCCCCCAGTCCCCCCAGCAGTGACCATGACTGTGTTACTTACTGCAACCCAAGTGGGGTCAGATGCAGACTCTGAACCCTTCCTAGGGCTCTCCAGACTTTCAGGGCCTGCGAGAGCAGCGGTGAGTTACCCCGCCAACGGCAGCGACTGCAGAATGAATGGAAAATAGCAAAGGTCGTCCTGCTGGCCATCCTTCTGTTCGTGCTCTCTTGGGCCCCCTACTCCGCTGTGGCCCTGGCGGCCTTCGCTGGGTGAGCAATAGCTAAGGGAATGGGGCAGGGATGAAGGGGAGGGGGAGCAGCCAGGAATTCCAGGCTGGCCTCTCTCTCCCAGTCCAAGCCCAGGCACATTCCTCACACCCTAAATTCAACCTCACAATCTTACTCTCCCTCTGGTGTGAGATGCCGCACCTGATCTTGGCCTGCCTAATTCCTGGAGGCACAAGGACATGTGCTGGGGGGACCCTGGGCCACATTGGATCTGGCTGAGGACCAACGAGGGCTGCCAGGTCTTGTAGACCCTTGGGGAACACACAGTCTCCCCGAAATTCTAGTTCCTTAATCACCTGGACTGTGGGTGTGGCTTATCTCATTCCCTCTAGTCCTTTGTGGCTAGTGTCTGGGGACCTTGACCTCTGCAGCAGCAAGGACAGAGACCTCAGAGGCACTTTGAAGATAGTGAGAGCCATTTATCCTAGGAAGTGTTTAGGTAGGAGACCTGCTCCTTGTGCAGGAAACTCTCAGGCCCTCCTGTCAAGCTGCTCTGAGAGAATCAGGGGAGTAGAGGGCATCAGGGCTGATTGGGAGGTGGGAGGAGCTGGGCAGGGGACCAGGGTCACTGGGAGGACTGATACCAACGTGCAGGCTCCAAAAGACAGCAGGACCTGGTGAAATGCCCCAAACTGACATATCTTCCTCCCAATATCCTTCTTCAACTGCTCCCTGTTTCCCACTCACCTCAGATCAGACTTCTCCCTGGCATTGCCATCCCTCCCATGGGGCTGACTGGGTCCTGTTTTCAGGGTGTTAGGTTAGGCCCCTGCAGGATGTGGCCTAAAGGAAGGATTCTGAGGGGAGTGGGTGTGCTGCGGAGTCTCCAGGGAAGCCCGGGTGGCAGGGGGACCACAGATTCTCTGTCCTAGGTATGCACATGTGCTGACGCCCTACATGACCTCCGTGCCAGCTGTCATTGCCAAAGCCTCAGCCATCCACAACCCCATCATTTATGCCATCATCCACCCGAAGTACAGGTCTGACCCTCCTCCAGGAGCCACCCCCAGGTCCCTAGTGCCATCCTCAAGGGCATGAAGGGTTTGGCCCTACAAATGGGGCATAGACCATCTTTCTTGTTCCTTGTATATGCACTAGTCAGGGCCAATAGCAGCTGGGAGCAGCCAGTGACACTTGGTCTAGAGTTTAGGTAACAGCCCCTCTGCTGCCCCAGCTTCCCAGAGGGCTCAGTTTAAAGGGACATCAGTGCCTCCTGGACAGGGTCCAACCCTGACTTTGGGGTCTTCAGAAAACAAATTCAAAGGCAGCTGGGATAGCTGATTTACGGTGCTGCCCTCTGCAAAGAGAAGCCACCCAGGCAGCAATGTTGCTTGCGGAGATGGCGGGGTGGGGGGTGGGGCGGGGGGGCGGGGAGTTCTGGCCCAGAGCTGTGGGCTGATAGAATCGCAGCATGGCCTTCAATGCTGCCTCTTGCCTGGTGGTGTCAGCAACTCACCGCCCTGTGTGAAGCTAGCTGCAAGCCTTGGCCCATCCAGCTCGGCATCTGCTCAGGAGCGTCCCTGATCCTGATTCGTGGATATGTGCCTTGAGCCACTCCTTTGAGGGCTAGAATTGACTGCCTTGCTGAACCTGCTACCCCTCCATGCCCACAGTTTCAGCATTTATCTGTTCATACATGCTCCCGTGAGCCTATCTGTCTCCCTCACCCTAGCACCTGTCTGTCCTTTCTCATCACCACTTTGACTCTCAGTGTCGTTCTGTCCATTCCTATCAGTCCATTGCCTCTCTCAATCCCCAAGTCTGATCCTTGCCACCCCCTCTGTGGCTCCCCATTAACCATGTATCCCATCTCCCACGTGTCTGTCCATCCATTTCCATAACCAGGTGTGCTGTCCCTGCAGAATGGCCATTGCTCAGTACCTGCCCTGCCTGGGGGTGCTGCTGGGCGTGTCAGGCCAGAGTACCCGCCCATACACCAGTTACCGCTCAACCCACGGTTCCACACTGAGCAGCCAGGCCTCAGACCTCAGCTGGATCTCCAAGCGGAGGCGCCAGGCATCCCTGGGCTCTGAAAGAGAGGTGGTAAGGGCATTGTTGGCTCCTCACCCTCCTTCCCTCAACCAGGTTACTCTTGGGCCTCTGAGTAGGGCAGCTTCTGAGATTCAGGGAACATCCTGCCCTACTCCCATCCCTGGGGACTTAGTTGAGAGGTTGAGGGAGCAGCTGCCAGAAGTCACTTCCCTGTAGCCCTGCAGTAAATGATGATTCAGGAGAGGCATAGACCCTTATGAAGGCATACCCATTCCCATCATTATGAAGGGACAAGATGCACACACACACACACACATGCACACACATGCACTCACCCGGCACATGCACTTACACTTTACAGCAATTTGCTCACCAGCAACCCTGCAAAGGGTGTCATGGATCACACCCCAGTGAACTATCTGGGAGGAGGAAGGAGAAAGCCTTGCTGGTGGAGGGGTCAGGAGCAAGACTGTGAAATGTTCCTCTCACCTCACAGTGACTCTCCGCCTCCCTCAGGGCTGGACAGACACTGAAAAGGCACCTGCATGGGGGGCTGCTCAGCAAGTCAGTAGACAATCACCCTGCCATCAGGACCTGGAGGACATGGAAGCCAAGGCCCCTCATAAGCCCCAGGGACTGGAAGCAGAAGCTCCTGGGAAGGTGACTGGACCTGGCACTGGCCACTCTATTAAGGGGTGGGGACAAGGGTTAAGTAGCCTGGGAGTGGCCACAAAAGGGGGCTTTGTTCTTGTGGTCAGGCCCAATGCCCTCTAGGGACTGCCTACCCCCACCTCCCTCCCAGTCTTCCCTTGGGCATCTGAGGGTCACTGTGACTGCAAGATGCTCTGAGCAGGTCTGAGCATGATGTGTGAAAGCACTTGAAAGTATGCATATGATTGTGCAACCTGACTGTGCACATACCTCCCACATACATGGCTATCCTTTGCTGAGGAATGTGTGTGCCTGTGTGTTGTGTGTTACCATGAGTGTATGCGATGTGCAGTTGGCAAAGTGTAGCTCATGCATGTGTGTGACATGCATGACCACACAAGCTCTTTTTCACTGTGACACCACAGGACATGGGATTGAAGGTGCCCCAAAGTGTCTGCTCCAAGCAGAGGGTGTGACCAAGTGTGGGTAGTGTGTACCTCTCTGTGATTAGAGACTGGACATAACTGAGTGTGTGGTGGGGCCTGCAAGCCGTGTATGTGCTCGCTATGAATGCCCTGAGATTAGGATGTCACCCAGAATACTTGTGGCTATTAAAAGAAGGCCAGCTGTCGGCCCAAGTGCCTATGGAACGGAATGTTGACGGTGATTAGAGAAGGCCATACTCTGGAACGCTGGAAATACTGTGTGCACAGGCCTTGAGGCTGCCCTTCCCCATTCTGCCTCTCCACTCACACCCACATGACACTGCCAGTTTCTCTGGCCTGTCTGACCCAGCTCCTGGGCTCTTTTGGGTTCCCCAGCAAGCCCAGTTCCACAGGAACTTTCTTGTCTGTTTTCCCCAAAGCTGGTCCCCTGCATGTCCCTGAGAAGGGGAGTCCCGGGCTGCTCCTTACAGTTATGAAGCCCCCATACCACCCACCTCCCAAATATTCCCACCCCAAGGAGCACCACTCCCCTAATCCTCCAATTCCAGGGAGGATTCACTCATCGTCTTGAGGCCAGGTACTATGCAAGAACACAGAGGCCAAGATATACCCTAGCAGTGAGAGATGGGGCTGGGGGAGACGATGAATGGCCCAGTGCCTTTTGTGGGGAGACTTCTGGGTGGGGCAGTTACTGGACAATGAGGGACAGGACATTAGCAGTCACCTAACACATGTGGTAAGTACAGCCATACAAATAGCAATGTTCAGGGTGCCGAAAGCAGAGGCAACTCTCAAGGGTTCCCCAGGGAGGGTGGAAGTGATTGTCAGGTAGGATGGAGGGGGTGGTTTGAGTGGTCCAGGCTGAGAAAACAGCCTGTGCCAACACAGTGGGGAATAGGAGAACCTGGGTGTCTTAGAAGAGAATGTCTTTCTGAGACCCCAGGAGCAGCCAAAGGGACTCTGGTTGCTGGCAGTGGGGATGTAGGCGAGGGGGTCAGAGGTGGTAGCAGTGGTGGGGAGACTCACTCAGGTGCTGGCCTGAGGGGTCTCCAGGTATGATCCTGAGGGAACAGGGAGCCCTGAAAGATTTAGTTGGGGGCACTGAGATGGGCTCTGTCAGCTTGCAGGGTAGCCAGGCCCCTCTGATGTGATTGGGGAAGGATAGGTTGAATGGAATGAGCCAGTAGGGAGAGGCAGGGCTGTAGGACAGGCAAGGAAGAGGCATTTAAGGAGCAGAGAGAGATTAGACACCAGGGCCGATGACGTAGAAGAGGAAAGAAGCAAAGGAATGGACAGTGGGGTGAGGACAAGCTCAGCTGGACTCCTGGACATCCCAGGGAGATGTCCTGCAGGGAGCTATAGACCTGGTCTGCTCCATCCTCTAGGTCACACTGCCTGCAGTCTCAGAGAAGGCCCATGCCCAACCCAGGACTCTCTTAGCCCTCCCATGCAAACTCCCTTCACCACCCAGACACCCTAAACACAGGGGGTCACTGCTCCCAGCGAGACACTCTTAAGACTAAGAAGGTGTGCGCTGTTTGTTTTCAGAACAAGGGTCTTCTCCCCAGCCTGGACCCCGGGAAGTAGGGCTCCCCTTGGCTCTCCCTTTCTTCAAGGACACATCCTGCCCTCTCACGTCTCCTGCACACACAGACCTGGAATTATCCCATGAGCCTGTGGAATTTGGAAGTGGACCTGTCACCTATGCTGTGCTGGATTCACAGCCCCATATCACAGAATTCCTGCCTTCCAACGTGGTCTGCACCCACTTCTCGTCTCAGCAGCCTGCACCAAGGTTCAGGCTGAAGATTGGGGGCCTGGGCCCTCCCTCTCTCTGGAGTCATCTCCTCTCAAGTGCTGTATGCTGTGATTGTCCAGGCGAGACAATGGTGATGGCTCCATGGTACACTCCAGCTATTTATGAGCTGCCTCTGCACCCTGGCTGGACATTTCACTGGCACAGGAAGGCCAGTGCTGCATCTCCCACAGCTGGCAGTTGAAACTGAGCACAGACCTTCATGTGTTGGAAACCATTCCTCCCTTCTGGCTTCTTCCCCCAGAACACTATTTCCACTGAGAGCCACACTTGGCCACACTTTCATATGCAGGCATGCTCTCCCCAATGCACATATTTGCAAGCACGCCAAGCACACCTGTGTACACACACTGTACCTACGGTTTGTTTCAAGTCAGTGGCTAAGTCCAGCCAGGTTTATGTGGCTCTGACACAGGTAGAGGAAAATAAAATGCAGAGGTCTCCTCTGACAAGCAGGGCTCTATCTATTGGTGCTGCGACAAGATCCCCACAGGCCTGGCCTCTGATCCCCACAGCAGCCTCTCTAGCTCCCCTTCCTCCGTTCCCCACCTGTGACTCTCTGGAAGCCCCCATCTCAAGCTGCAGGGGGCAGAGTGGGGGAGGGACAGGGACCAGTCTTGCCTCCATCCCATTCCTCAGTGAGCTGCTGTTACCAGGAACGGACTCCCACCCAGGCTGTGGTTACCAGCTGCTCTCCGGCTGGCTTTGCATCTCCCAGGGGAGGCCATGGGAGGAGGCTGGCCTTTCCCTTTAAGAGCATCCCTCCCACAACCCCTCCCTTTCCCAGAGGCAGCATAAGGCGGGTGCCCAAGTCCGGAGAAAGAGCCTGCTGTTCCAGGTACAGCCTAATCCCAGGTTCCACATCCCCATGTAGGGTCTGCTCCTTCCTTCCCCCATACTAAGTATGCTTTGCTGCTGAGTCCTCCCCAGCCTGGCAGGGCAGACCCCATTAAGAAAGGGTAGATGGGATGGGATGTGGGAGAGGGTCAGGGTGCTGGCCACAAGCTGCTGGCTTTCTGGGTTAGGCTGGGGCAGGAGGACAGGTTTGGGCTGCATGATACGGGGCAGAAGAGGTGGTGAAGTGAGGGGAAGAACAAAATGGCGCTTTCCGCTTTTTGTTTTTGTGATCTTGGACAGTTTATCTGTGATGTGGTGACTCCCTCTACCATCATTGTATATGCCAGGTCCAGGGCAAGAGGCAGGGTACTGAATGCCAGGAAAGCATTGGCACCCAGGCCTGTACCGAATCTGAGGGCCCAGTCCAGGGCAGAGTCCCCTGGAGGGTGAGAGAGCACATGCTCTGTTGTTTCCCCAGGCCTCAGTTTCCCCATCTGAGAGCCAGGGTGGGCTTTGATCTATCTCCAGACCACACAGAGCCAGATACCTCTTCTGTCCAATGATCTGACTGATAAGAGACCCAAGGGGCCTCTACACCCACCCAGAACACACTGTCTCTGGGTTACAGGTTTTAAACGATGCACACTTCCCCCTTCCTGCCTCTTCTGGCCCTGTGTCCCAGCAGCTGAGCAAATGGCATCTCCTCCCCTCCTCTCTGTCCCTGCCATTCCGGCACAAAGGGCACGGGGGCCTGGCGTGCACCACTGGCAGCTGGAGCTTTCCCTGCTGCTGTCAAGTTTTCCAGAGCACAAATGAGACAGGAGAGCCAGGAATAACCACCAGGCCCCAGAGGGTCTGGAAGGTGTGGGCCTCCCCCAACTTACTTTCAGATCCTGTGCCAAGGGGTGGAGAAGCGTCCAGCTTCTTCCCATTTGGGGTCCTGGCATTAGGAGGTACCTGAGGCCACTGGCACCTGCTATCTGACACGGGTCCTTACCAAATGGGCCCAGGTTCCTGCGTGGTCTGGGTCTACTTCCTGTGTGACCCTGGAGAAGTCATTTAACCTCTCTGAGACCTGGTTCCTGCCGCCAAGGTGGCAGCCTCTTAGGATCTGATGGGACAATGATGTGAAGAACCTGGAGCTGAACTTGGCTTTGCCCAGGGCTGCTGCTATTATTATGATCATTTTTATGGTTGGATAGCCCTGGGCCCATTGCCAGTTTCTGAGCTGAAGCTTTGTCCAGACCAGCGGGAGGCTCAGCTCAGTCCTAGGCACCACCAGTGTCCCACTTTGGATAAGGCACAACCAGGGAATATAAGAAAGAAAAGACCCAAATCACAAAATCCATGCCAAAGGGGCTTCACTATGGGCTTCTGGCAAGGGGTTGGGTATAGCTGGGCAGGGATAGTGTGCACCTAAGAGCTGCAGGGGGCAGAAGGAACAAGAAGGGGAGAGCAGAAGAGCATTATTACTATTCTGCCTAGTACCCCATCCTGCCCCCAGAAAGGGGGGTGCTGAATGCCGAACACCCCTCCCCAGGGGCTATATTAGCCATCTGAGTCACGGTGGACCGGTTGGGAGGCCTCGGGCGGGCGGGCACAGTATAAGGTTACAGTCCATTTATGGGCGCAGCAGAGGGCAGATATCAGTGTCGATGGCATTCATTCTCGGCTATTCTTAGGAGCCTCTCAGAAGCTCCACAGAGCCTGACCAGGCAGCAAGGGAAGGCACAGGCAAGGCTGGGGGTCAGGGACAGGAGCTGAGATATGGGCTGGGGAGACAGGGTGAGTGCGTGAGGTCCTTCTCACTCCACTCTTCTCCCTTGCCCACAGAGGCCGCAGCTGTCTGCATCAGCATGTCTTACAGCGTGACCCTGACCGGGCCTGGACCCTGGGGCTTCCGTCTACAGGGGGGCAAGGACTTCAACATGCCGCTCACTATCTCCCGGGTGAGTGCATGCTACCCACAGGCTGGCATTCATGGGTGTGGGTCATGGTAGGAGGCGGAGGTTATGTGTTTGTCTGTCTGTCCTCCCTGAGGCTCTTGGAAAGTAGCATGTGCCCATTCCCATTCCGGGGGCTGCGACTAGACCAGACTGGATACTGCCAGCCACAGGCCCCGGGTCTCAGCCACAGCTGTGCCCACCTGAGCAGGTCAGTCTGCCAGCAGAATGAGATATTGTGGATGAGCGGTGGTGTTTTAAGAAGGAAATGTGGAATTTTGAGGGCTGACAGGCAGGTGGATAGAGAATACAGTGTCTCCCTAAGTCCTTCCCCAGCAGGGTAGGCTCTGGGTGTTCTGAGCCTAGAGCATCCCCTGGAAATGGGCAGCTACTTTGGGAAACAAGAACTGCAAGCCTGTAAATGGGCAAGTAGAAAGCTTGGGACTGGGGCCTGAATTGGACTGGACTGGTTACTGGGCTCCAGCATCTGCTTCATCCCAGACCTAAGATAACAGCCTCCTCCTCATCCCCACAACCTTCTGGGGTCTGCCACTTACCACTGGCTAGCCTCTTGGGGCTGGATCTTTTTCCTGTCCCAGTGTTTGCCCTTTACCAGGAGCTGCTTTCCCTGCCTGTGTCGCTTCTTGCTTCCTGCTCTGGCCTGGGGAAACGGCTCTTGTTTCCCGCAGTGTCTGTAATCAGGGTACAGCAATGCCTGATGGGGAGGCCATAGAACATTGAAGATTATTTGGTAGCTCTGTTATCCAGCTCGAGACACCAAAGCCCAGAGAGGTGAGGAGCTAGATCAGGGCAAGAGGAAGCTCTCTAGATAAAGGACTTTGTTTTAACCACTGCTATGTCCCCAGCACCTAGACCAGTGCCTAGAAAGTAGTAGGTGCTCAGACAAAATTTGTCAAGTAAGTGCAAGTCCAGCTGGGGCTGAAGCCCCAAGGCTCAGGGTGGACTGTGAAGTATATGAGGGCAGAGACAAGGCCTGCCTGGTGCGGTAAGGCTGAAACTGAGCCCCCAGCTGTGCTGGCGTGGGCACAGGGGGCAGTCTGAGGCTGTGAGCTGTCTTTGGAGGGCAATGGATGAGCAGGGGGTCTGGTTGTTGCCCACCTGGGGACAGAAAGACAGTTTCTTCTCCAGGGCAGCAGGGCCTTGCCTTGGGTTGGAGGCTGGAGGTGGGGACACAGAAGCACTGAGGTGGGCAGGTAAGGAAGGCCTAAAAGGTGCTTGGTAGGGGGGACAGGGAGACAATGCTTCCACTGAAGTAGCCTTAGCTGTAGATCCTGATGTGAGCACTTGGGTGGACCCCCACGAAAGCTACATCCTGCTTGGGGTGGTATAGGAGCCTCATATTAGCCATACTACACTCCTCCTACACTCCTCCAGGAGCCTACACTTCTCCAGGGCATGGTGCCAGGCTGGCTTCATTCCAGGGACAAGGCCTAGCCTTCTATGCTTCTGCTGGAGATCTGACTTACTCTTACCTGAGTCTCCACTGCTCCAGACACACTGCCCTAGAGACCACAGGGTCTGGTGCTAAAATGACACCCAGAGCCTTGCATACCCTGCCTAGTGATATGGTGACATGTGGGCATTTACACCCCATTGGACACCACCCTCCCAGGACTTTAGACAGGATTGCAAGTCTCCTCCCTGTACAAGGCGGGACCTCTCTTACGGGTGTCAGGCCTCACACATCTGAGACTGAGCCCACACCTCCCCCAGTCCTACCATCCTCAAGGACTCCTACTGGTGCTCCCTGTCCCATCCCTGTGGGTAGAAATTAGCTTCCTGGCTTAGTGGCACTCAGGATAGCCAATTACCTCACCCAGGGTCTATGTACCACCTGGCTCCAGCCAGCCTGGGGCTTAAATTGCAGCCCAGAGACCTTTAGCTTAAAGGAAGAATGTCCTCACGGTTGCGAGGGGGTGTTTTGGGATGTGCTGGAGCCAATGACTGGGGGTGACTTTTAAAAATAGAACCCACAGCTCAGGCAGGGCACAGGGGGTTGGGTATAATGACTGCACACCTTCCTTCAGGGACATGCACCAAATCACTAAGGCCAAGGAGCAAGTTGGACGGGGCACTGGGGCCTCTCCAGATCTTGGAACCTCTTAATGAAGTTCTCTGGTGGGCCGCTGGTACCCTGGGCTCATGCGTCCCAGTCTCCGTCAGGCTGGCCCCATGGACACGGCCCTGTCATCCCTCCCGGGCTGTGGTACTCCTGCTGAGGCTCTGAAGGTCCTTGTGTATCAGAACATCTCCCCCAAAGGGATGCAGAGCCAGTGCTCTCTGGAGAAACCTACTCCCACCCCATTCAAGAGTAGGTTCCCACACTGGGTCAAGGGACATTCCAGGGAGCTATGGCCTGAAACTTTTTTTTTTCACATTTTAAAAGGACAGGTTTATTAGGAAAAGGAGAAAAAGAGAGGCACCTGCGTAGTCACAGGGGGCAGAAGAGCTCTGGCCTGAACCTCTACCACAAAGTGGCAGATTGTGGTGGGGGATCAGCAAAGGCGGGGCCTGCTCGTTCTAGCAGAGGCTGGCATCTTTGCCCCCGGACCCCTTCACCATGCACTACAAGCTGAGGTGGTCAGTCAGGCAGGGCTGGGATTATCATCTCACTTGAGATCCAGGAAACTGAGGCTCCCATTTGCACAGGAGTTCTTGTCCTTTGTAACCCATAACTCCCACGCCTGGCCCCTCACCTTCCTGGCTAGAGACTAGAAGGAAAGTATCACACGGGGCCTGTCCTCTGTCACCGAAGGTATAGGCTATAGTTTGTCCTGCAAGAAGGCCAGCCCCATACTCACCCTATCCTGCCCACAGGCCCCACAGCATCAACCTTGGGAGAGAAGTAGTACCTCAAGGCTCCCTTTAGTGGGTCTTGGCCTAAGGACACACAAAGAAGGGGGTTCAGGAGGGTGGAGGAGAAATTCCTTTATTTATCCTGGACAGGTGCAGCTGGGCCTGCAATATGATCTGCCCTCTCACCCCCACCCTCCCCCAACCCCAGCCAGTTCTCCAGGAAGTGGGGGAAGGATGGGAGCAGCTCCAAAGGCTCAGTCCCTACCCCTGCCAAAGCAACTAAGCTTTGCTTTAGGCTGGGGCCAGGATCTGGGCCTTGCTACTTGGTCCATGTTGAATCCCTGGACTTTTGGGAAGAGGTGTGTGCTTTTTGTTTGGCCCTGCTACTCATAGCTGTGTCACCTTAGAATGTCAGTTCACTTGCTCAGCCACGTTTTCTTACCTGTGCAATGGAGACAGTGTCTCCATGAAAGCATATGTGAGAATGTTTTCTAATATGCACTTGTGAAAATACTTTACACCTGCTATTCTCTCTGGCTGGTCTTGAAGCTGGCAGGGTGGTGGGGCTGAGACTAGGCGGTGGGGGGTCTGTCATTGTCCCAAGGCCTCCGCCCCTTTGGATCTCACCCGCCCAACCTAGCAGACTGCCCTGGGGCACCAGCCCAGAGGCCTCTGCTCCTTTGCTGTTGTTGGTTCCAGTATTCCTCAGACTTTCCTAGCTCTGGTGGGGATGCAGAGGACAAAGGGTCCCTAGAGAGGGGGAAGGGAAGGGAGAAGGCCAAGACTATTCTGGGGTAGCTGTGCCGGCGATTCCTGGAATTTTGAGACCTCTGGAGCATGTCGTGCTGTTTCTTGGGCACGCCTAGCAGTGCTGACAGGTCTTGCCGTTTATAGCCATGCTGAAGGTCAGGTAAAGCTCCTAGGGCTCCCTTGGGGCCCTCCCCGATATGGGGAGATAATCAGAGGGAAGCTACTTAGGGGGAACACATTCTTCCAGGTCCCTCCACCCCCACCCCACCTACCTACCTCACACTCAGAGCTGTCTCTGATCTCCTGAGGACCTGAAGGGAGTGACTATAAGGCCAGATAGATCCTGGGGAGCAAACACTTTGGGGCCCTGGGCCAAGACACAGGGCAAGGGCATCTTCATGGGCAGGATCCCAGGCTAACGGCATTGTGGGACAGCAGCAAGTGTGAGGAGGCAGGGTCCACTGATAGGGATGGCAGGATACTGCCGGGCCGCCTCCAGCCTAGGAGATGTCACCCTAATTCTCTGAGTCTCCTTCCCTCTCTACATGGTTCCCTCTCATTCAGGGGCTCTCCATGATGACAAAAGTCCCCTATGCAAGCCCTCCCATTCCCAAACAGTCTTTCCAGCCCTTTGGAGCAGGCTCTCCTGTGCTTTGGGGGGCCCAGTGAGAATGAAATGCCCATGGGAACATTCTATTAGCACCATCTGGAACACAAACAGAACTGTGGGCCTGAACAAGAGGAGGAAGAGAGACAGCAACTGGGAGGAGACGAGATTCAGAAGGGAAAGGAGTGGTCAGCTAAAGAGGGGACTGGGGGACCTCTGGCTTTGGGCACAGGGAGGTCATGGTATGTGCAGGGTGGTAGGACCCAAAGCCAGATAGCTGAGTGTAGGGGCAGGATCTGCTGGTCACTCTCGGAAATGTCTGAAGGTGAAGAAAGGCACAGAAATATGACTGGGGCCAGTAGTTAGGAGTAGTTGGAGTAGTTGGAGTAGTTAGGATAGGGAGGGGGGAAGCTTTTTGGTTTTTAGGCTTTATTTTTTTTATAGAGCAGTTTTAGGTTCTCAGCAAAAAGTGAATGGCAGATACATAGATCTCCCAAATACCCCTACTTCTGTACATACCCATAGCCTCGCCCATCATCATCATTCCCTACCAGAGTGGTCCATTCATTGCAATCCATGAAGCTGCTTTGACACATCATTACCCCAAGTCCATAGCTGACATTAAGGTTCGCCCCTGGTATCGTACTTTCTGTGGTTTTGAACCTATTCATTTACGGTTACAAGTTGCCACTATTATAGTTCTACTGCCCTAAGAATTCTCCGTGCAGGGAAAAGCTTTCTGAGTGTAGATGAGATTGACTTGTTTATCGACCAGGATGGAATTGGGGAGTAGGGCCATGGGGAGACAGAAGGTACAAGCGACAGGGTGAGGTATGGGCCCCAGGGGAGGCCAGATGGGAAGGAAGCAGTCTGTAATTTAATCACACAATGTTAAATGTACTTAGGGCTCTGTGGGAAATCCCTGGGGTGGTTGGGAGTATTGGGTGGAGATACTGGAAGTAGCACCATCCACAGCATCCACTGGCTCCACCTCCTGCCATCCCTACAATGGCATATCTAGAGGACAGGCGGGGCCTGTCTGGCTTGGGGTCAGGAACTTTGGTGGAGCCCAGCTGCCCCCTCTGCTGCCAGGGAACTGGGGAAACAGGAGCCCAGGGCATGGGTGCCACTGAGTCTCAACCTGTGCCAGGACCCCAGATAGACATTTCTGATGTTCAGGCTTCTCAAGGCACAGCAAGCTGGCTCAGGACACAGAGGCTGGTGCTGCAGCTCAGGTCTGACTTGGCCCAAAGTTCATGCTCTTTGCCTAGTTACCTTCCCCTCACCATCTAGAGATGGTGGGGCTCAAGCTGCTCCCTGGAACCAGCTATTCCTGTGCCCCCTGAGGGTTCCCTAAGACCACCAGCAAGGTGGAAGGACTTCTGTGGACCAGGTGGTGATCTTGGCCGCCAAACACCTAGAACCCACTCCAAGGAGCTTTTGAGAAAGGACCCAGGTCTTAGAGTTCTGCCCAGGGCCGGGTTCACAGTTGAGAGGTCGCTAGTGAAAGGCAAAGACCGAAAAGTGAAGTGGGAATCAAACAATCATTAAGAAGAGTTTCTCAAATACTCAAAAGGAGATTAAGAAAAAAAAAAAAGGCAAACATTTCAAGGATCTAGCTGCTTTGGGTCCTTTCTAGAACCAGGAAAGCAGAGAGAAGGGCCTGGATTGCACACTTTATGAGCCCTGGCCACTGGACTGGAACCCTGCTGTGGGTAACCTACTGTGGGGACCCCTTGCCTTGTCCTGAGAGAATCCTGGTATGGGGGAGCCCTGGTGTGGAGGAATCCTGGTATATGAGGGTACATTGTGGCAGGAGCCCTCATATAGGAGATCTCTGGTGTATGGGTATCTTGTTGAGGGGGCCATGCGGGTAGGCTACTAGGACAACAGGGTATTGCACAATTCATCCTGAATGGGAGCACAGTGGTATCTGCAACTTACTTTGAAATGCTCCAAAGACTGATGGCTAGATGGATTGTGAGGGAAGATGTACAATACAGCAAGTGGTAAAATGGCCTGGTGCAACACCTGGTGGGTATTTGCATGTTCCTTGTAGGGTTTTTTTTTTTTTTTTTAAGATTTATTTATTTATGCATACAAGAACTGAGGTACAGGCCAGAGATGTGGGGGGTGAGAGGATTCACCAGAGACAGAGTGGGGACCAGAACAGGCAGATCTACTGATACGCTGCTGAGGGGAGCAGTGGGTGAGACAGGACAGGTCTGCTGAGCCACATGTGGGTGAGCTCCCTGGCCAGGGATCAATCAAACTCCCATGGCAGTGGCTGGCCATAGCTTGATAATACTGAGACTTAACCCTTGAGCCACCAGGGAGGCCCTTTTGTTGCGGTATTCTTGCCAGGTTTTCCATATTTGAAGATATCTACTGTAAGTGTTGGGATCAGTGCAGGTCTGAACTGGAAGCCAGGGATGTGGGGGAAAGACAGGCCTGCTCAGCTAGCCTCTGGAGCCCCCTCAGGCTAGAAAATTTTTTCTTTTTCATTATTTTTTTAAAAGATTTATTTATTTATGCATACAAGAGTTGGGGTATAGGCCAGAGATGTGGGGGATGAGAGGATTCACCAGAGACAGAGTGGGTAACAGAACAGGCAGACTGAGTGAAATACACTGCTGAGGGGAGCAGCGGATTATTTTTAACATTTGTTCAACCCCGTAAATCAAAGGAAGGCCCTCCTGTCATTAGCAGAAGTTCCCTAAGGTCACAAATTTGAGGATAAAAGTGACGTGTATTTTGAAAAGTCCTGGAACTGAAATGGCGGGTCAGGACAATTGGTGAGGGTGCTCTTAGTTTTGCTGTTGTCACTGGCTTATCACATGTGGTCCCTGTACCACCCTGCAGAGCTCATCTGGGGGTGGGCCTGAGATGGGTGACTGTAGGGCACCTGGTGTGGATGGAGATTCCCTGTGAGGGGCCTGGCAGGAGGTTTCCAACCATGTCTGGAATCCCAGGACCTGGCCAGAGGCCCACCCAGGCTTGGCACCCAGGGCAGGGGACTTCCCCTCATCTTCTCTGGGCTCTTTCTAGGATGGTTCTCAGGCCTTGGCCAAAAAATGGCTCTTGCCAGTGTTAGAAACTGGCCTTGTCCCTGGGGTGTAGCCAGGAAGGTGACTGGGAAGTGCCCAGAGAAACCAGGAGGACTGGCTGGTGGGTGTGTTTTGGAGGAGAAGTAAAGGGGCACCCTGAGTCAAAGCTTGGCAGGAGTGGCTCCCAAAGGCTCCTTTCCTAGATGTCCCTGGGGGTGGGGCCTGCATGGCATTCCTGGTGATGTCACAGGAGGGTGTCCATGTGATGTCAAGGGGTCTTGTCATAATATGAGGTCAGCAGGGAGTGAGGCTTACGTGGTATTCCAGGTGATGCCATGAAGGGTGGAGCCAGAGACTCTATGGCATTCCATGAGACATCATTAAGGGTGGGGCTTCACACATTCCATGCAACATCACTAAGGCCAGGCTATAAAACTGTTTTAGGTGATGTCCCTAGGCCCTCCAGAATTTTGCGTTTCATGTGATATCACTGCAGGCGTCCATTGTGCTGTTGCTTGGGACTGGTGAATCCCAGTGATATGCAGAATCTGGTGATATGCAATCTGAGTGGAGTCTGAGACATTGTGGCATCCCAAGGAATGTCCCCAGGGGTGTGGCTTTTTTGATGCTGCATGGGGTGTTCCCCAGATTGCATTCTATGTGATCACACTGGATGGGGGGGTCCCCAGACTCTAACATTCTGTGATGTCATTAGCACACAGCATTTGGGAACCAGCTCTCACACCTGCACCTCCCCTTCAAGAAGTACGAAGATGCCCACCAAGCACCAAGCACTGCCCCTGTCCCAGCTGATCTTACTCCCCTAGACAGGGTTGATTCCTCTTCCAGCCCTCTGCATACCTGCCTTGGTAGAACTAAGTACTTGCCCAAGGATACTTTATGAGGGTGCATTTGTTTTGCCTGTTGGCTTGGCAGTGTCTGTAGTGGCACTGAGTCTTGGCTCTTAGAGCCCGGAAAGTGTTACATGGGTTTTTGGGATACAAGTGTGATAGTTGGCTAATCAGTGTAACAAATAGCCTCCAAATCTCAATGGCTTAGCACAACAAAAGCACTAGGAAATGTGGTGGCTCTGTGCCACCAAGAGAAATCAGTCTTGGTAAGCAGCATGTACTGGCCATGGTGAATGAAAGACAAGGGGGCGGACCTCTCCTGGACAATCCAGGGTGACCCCCCATTTAAGCCCAAGCCCATCCTCAGGCCTACCATCCATATGTTTACCTCTCCACCTTCTGCTGTCTTATCAGATCACACCGGGCAGCAAGGCGGCCCAGTCCCAGCTCAGCCAGGGTGACCTTGTGGTGGCCATTGATGGCGTGAACACGGACACCATGACCCATCTGGAGGCCCAGAACAAGATCAAGTCTGCCAGCTACAACCTGAGCCTCACAATGCAAAAGTAGGTGGGAGCTCTCCAGAGAGGGGTGGTGGTTAGGGTGTGGGCATCACGGGCCTGAGAGGGGTTGTCCAGCAACAGTCACCTGGCCCAGCCCAGTGCCATAGGACCATACAAGGAAAGTGAGGACAGCCTCTAGGGCAGAGGAAGAACAGGCCCAAGTTGTTAAGTGCCTGCCATGTCTACACCTCACTTTCCAGAAGAGACTCAGAGTGTGGGTAATATGCTGCCAGTATATGGGTATCCTGGCCTAGAAACCAGGGTCTTCTCTCCCTTCTCCTAGTGCAGGCGTCCTCTGAAGGATCTAGCAGAGGCCCGTGGCTGTAAGTTGTCTAAGAGTAGTGACTTCTCCATCCTGGTCAGGCTCAGTGCCTTTCTGGGATGGACCATGAGTCTGGGTCCTCTGACTTGGCTTCCCAATTCTCCACTGCACAGTGCTGCCCAGGTAGGAGCTCCAGGACCCAAGGGCAACTTTGTTCACTCAATTCCATTTCTGGTTTTCCAGGTCAAAGCGTCCCGTTCCCATCTCCACAACAGCACCCCCAATCCAGTCTCCTCTACCAGTGATTCCCCACCAGAAGGTAGGTGTTGACTGTAAGTAGCAGGCTTCACCCTCAGCCATGTTTTGCCTGTCTGACAACTGACTGGCCCAACTGGAGTGAGGCAGTGGGATCAGCCCTGTCCCACCCTGGCCCAGCCATGGCTGACCTCAAGGAGGCAAGGCAGGTCGGCCTCTGGGGAAAGGCATTCCAGCCCCCACGAAGTATTGTATGTGGGGCTTCTTCCCTGGGTGCTGGCCACCACCCTGGAGCCTCTGACACAGGATCTCTTCCTCCAGCTTCCACTTATCCTGCCATATGCACACCCCAGTCAAAAGGGCTGATGGTGGTCCAGAGGCAGGTGCAGGGGAGAAAGAGGAGTCTTAGACCCAGAACTTAACACCACACGTAGGCCCCTTCCCAACTCCCTCTAAGCAGCTTGATACTGTGGGCCCAGGGGCTTGATCCAAAGCATGGGAGACCCACCCCAATGCTTCTTCAGGGGCTGACCCCCTACCCTTCCCTGCATGACCTCATACTGCCTGTGGTCCCTCCAGTGGGCAGAGTGGGTAAGGGGCAGGGTAAGAAGCAGCTGATAGGGGGTTGGGCTGGGTGACAGATTGGGGAGGTGTGAAGAGGGCTGTTTGGGGGAAGTTACAGAGGCAGATGGAAGAAACCAAATGTCAGCTCCTACTCTCTCAGTTTCCCCTCCTGCATCTTTGCCTGTCCACCACCAATCTGAAAGGTCCCTTCTCACTGGCCAGGTGGGGGCATCTCAGGGTGGGTCAGTACAGCTGGAAACTGGGCTGTGCCTACAGGTGGCCCCAATCAGGAAAGGAAAACAGACAGAAGATGGAAGGGGCTTCCCACAATCCATGAAACCCACACCCCCTTTCTCCAACCCTTTCCTCCAATCCTGCAGGCAGGCTGACTTGGCTTGGCTTTCCCCGTAGGGCTTTGCATTTTGCCCAGGTGGATACCAGTCTCAGGCCAAGAGTCATGTGCATCCCCTGCTCTTCCTGACCAAACCTTTCTCTTCCAGGTGCCCCCCGACCCCTCCCAAGCTCTGTGTGGGCTGCAGGCTGCTGGGCGCTCTTGCTAACACCTCTGTTTCAGGTCCATGCATGAGCGCTAGGATGTGTGTGGCCTCTAACTGCTCTCTTCTCTTTCCCCTGCATGGTGGCTACCCTGTGCCAGGACCCTGCTCCGGACACGAACGGCGGCCTGGTGGTGCCCAGCCCTGACCCTGAAGCGAGGGCCAGCCCCGTCAGCCTGGGCACCCCGGAACTCAGGCAGACCTTTAGCTCCTCCTTCTCCCAGACCTCCATCTTCTCACAAACAGAGGCTTCTGACTCCAGCCCTCCACAGGGCATTCCGGGGGCCAAGACAAGCCCGGAGGGGGCCCTGGACTCACTGAGCCCCAAAGCACCACTGGGCTCGAGCCAGCCAAGGCAGTATAACAACCCCATTGGCCTGTACTCGGCAGAGACCCTCAGGGAGATGGCTCAAATGTATCAGATGAGCTCCCGAGGGAAGGCCTCAGGTGCTGGACTCCCAGGAGGGTAGGTAATGGGTGCACAGCTCTCCATTGGTGGTCTGGGGCCACCTGGGTCTTCAGTGCTCAGTAGGGCCTGGTCAAGTGGTCAGAGCAAGGAGGTGACCTCCATCAGCCTACCTTACATCTGTGAGGCAGCGCAGGCTGAGCGCAATGAAAGCATCAATCTTATTGATATTTACCGTGAGCCGGGTGGATCACGACTTTACATAACTGGAATGTCATGTTGGATTTTGCAGAGGGGGAAACTGAGGCTCAGAGAGGTTAAGTCAATGTCCACATCCAATTACAAGGTGGCCAAGCCAAGTCTGAATACAAAAGACTCTGATTCCTGAAACTTTTACACTACCACCCAGAACAGGACAAAGCCTGCTGTCTCCAGGAGCTCTGGGGCAAGGGGACACGCTGGTCCCACCTATTTGGGAACCCTGAGGGAGGAGCAGGGAAGATTTAGAGAAGTGGGAAGATGAGTTCCCTAGGGCTGGGAGTGGTCTGGGAAGGCTGCCTGGAGGAGGGAGCCCCTGAGCTAGATGTAGAGAGATTTGACAAAGGTATGCAAGCTTGCAGGATGGCTCCTGGCTGGAGCAGGATAGTACGAAAGCAGGGCCCCAAGGAGAAAGGGTTCTATAGGAGAGTAGCAGCCCACCTCCCCGCTCTACCCCATTCTTAGGCTAGCTGGTGGGAATCTGAGAGCACAGGAGTTAAAAGAAACTAGAACTGAGGTGGGTATAATGAAGGGGCACAGGAGAGAGAATCTCCAAGCAAAGCAGTATTAGCTTTTAAACCCTTCACACCTGTTATCTCATTATAACTTCTACCACACACCATGCACTCAGCATGACTTACTCAGAACAGGCTGAGAAAAGGCAATATGTCCCAGTGAAGAGTTCAGGCTCCTCCTCTGCACATGGACTGTGCATGTCTCAGGATTACTGGGAGGACTAAACAATTGAACCCACTCACAGTGCTGAACTCCCCTTTCTGGCACGCACTTACTTACTACATGTTACCTGTCCTCATTGCCTGAAGTCACATAAAGGTACACCCATGAGCCAGAATCACAGCCTGAGTTAGTTTTACCTAAGTCAGTCTACTCAATGCCCTACGCTTTGCTCTTGCTACAGAAGGTTCCTGTGCTCTAGCAGATCACCAATCCCCTGGGGTTCCTCAGGTCCCCCAGCTCTTTTTGGAATCCTGAAGCTAGTCTCAGTGGCAAGGCCGTATACTTTTCCCATCAAGGAATTTCCACCCGAAACTCAGGGAATGGCAGAGTGGACATGGCCTCCTTCTCCTGGCTTGGGTGAACTGGTCGCTCTTCCTGGTTCTCTCTGGGACTAGAGCTAGGCAGAGAGGTCAATCTCTGGTGGGCTCAAACCTCCATGAGACCCACCTGCATTGGTGGTGATGTTCAAGCTGGGAGCCAGCTAACAGTCCACACCTTAACACCACTCTTGGCAATTTCAAAAGTGAACATCACTTCCCCCACTTTACAGCTGGGAAATAGAAGCTCAGAAAGCGTGAGTAATTTTCCCAATCATTTATCTATTGAGTGGTAGATGGGACTGGCACCCAGGTAGACTTGTCTTCTGTCTAGGTAGTCAGGAGCTAGCCCACCCCTTTCTCCCATGATTCTCATGGTACCCTCCCCTGGTGCAAGAGAACTTGGCACTCAGGGCCCCAGGGTCTGACAGTTTCTCCAAGGGAAGAAGGCTAGAGGAGGGAGTGGAGTGAATGCTTCATTCAAAGTGAAGGCAAGGTCTGCAGGAAGGGTGGAGCTTCTGCTGGGCTGAGGCCACCACATTTGCTAAGTGACTGACTGCAGGAGACAGGGTCAGCAAATGCTAATCCCTACATCCCTCCATCATACACTTGACCCATGCCAAGGCTTTATACTCAGGATTCTGTTCAATCTGCACAATCCAGTTCTGCAGTGGGCACTACCACCTGGATTGAATGCATGAGGAAACTGAGGCTGGGATAGGTGGGTAACTCTCCCAGAGTCACAGAGCTTAGGAAGAGGCAGGGGTAAGATTTGAACCTTTCCTGTCTAGCTCCAAAAGGAATTTCATCCCCCTGCTCTCTTTAGGCAGCTTCTAATGTGATTCTCAGGCTGCTTTTGGGAGGCATAGAGAACAAACAGGTGAGGGGACAGCTGGGTCTGAGGATCCCTATAGTCCCCTTCTCCTCTCCTCTCTGTGCTGACACTGAAGGTAGCTTTCCTCGGACCACTAGATGAAAAGGCCCATGGGCAGACCTTATAACTTTGACTCCTCCCTCTGCCTCCCACCCCACATCTGGAGCACTGACCTCTGCTGAGACATTCCAGCCTCCAGGTCCTCAAGTGGAAGCTAAGCTGGGGGCAGGAATCAATGCCAAAGAAGGAGCTGGTTACCTGGGCAGGGCAAGGCAGAGGCAACCCCCAGGGTCATCACTGCCCTCTACAGGGGCCACTAAGCTGCTCAGGGTAAGAGCCCACCCTGCACTTGTCAGCACTGGCCAAAAATGGACAAGGAATGGAAGATCTGTGCTGGCACTTTCCTAATATAGCTCCACTTACAGCTATTTTGAGCTGGGAAGACCGAGAGCATTTTATCTCGGAGACAGTGTCAGGCAGGGGGCCGAGCAGGGCCACTGTGAAACTGCCTAGGACTTGGGGTTCCCTAGTTTTGGCCTGGTGCCCCAGAGTTCTGGCCATGGGCTGACTAAGGACAGGCCAACTGAGGTCCACGCTCCCCCAATCAGAGTCCATAGTGGTCAGTTCTGGAAGGTGACAGGGGCAGGGATACCATTCTTTTCCCCCTGAAGTTTCTGGCAGGGCCATTGGTGCTGCAGGGGTTGCCACTGAACTTAAAGAAACATACTGTAGGCAGAGATTCCCCTGAAGAGGTGATGCTCCAACTGACTTACTCTTAGATAAGAGTGAGGGGTGAGGGTCCTTCTTGTGTCCAAGCTGCCCCGTCTTGGCTGAGGGCTTTCCTGTGATAGGCTTAAGACCCACACTTCTCCCTAAGCGTCCCCACTCCTCCATCCAGCCTCACTGCTCATCCACAGGGCCCTTTGTAGTGGTCACTGGGTATTACACAGAGACACCTACCTCTGTGCCCTAGGAGGAGCGGCCTGGATCACCAGCCCCTCTTCTGAGAGAGAGAGCAGGTCCTAGGGGCTGTGAGTAACCCCACTGCACATACCTACTCAGTGAGTGGAATTCCTGGAGCTGCCCCCTCACCCATTATTCAAGGGGAACCAGAGCTGCTGTCTGTCTAGGAGGCACCTGGAGTCTGGGCCCTTCCTGCAGCAGCCACAGCTGGTTCTGTCTCATCTCCAGCTTCCTCTCCTGGGGTCTGTATATGCAGCCAGGCTGCAGATGGGGAATCATGTACGCAGTACATGAGCACCCGTGAAGATGGACAAGAAAACCTTCCTGCCAAATCTCTGGGTCCTGAGGGCCTACTGATGGGGAAACATTGCTGTCTCCATCTTTGACCCAAACTGTGGTCCCCCAGTCTGTGCCTGACTCTCAGCTCTTCCCTCTTCTCACTTCATACCCTCCAGACCCAGTGTCAGCTGGGCTGGCTCCACCTCCACAAAGGCCAGTCTGAGGAGGGTCCCAGCGCTCCACCCCTCTGCTAGAGCCTCACTCTGATAGCCCTGTCTTTGCTCTTTCTCCTCTTCCCAGGTGGTAGCCAACTCTCCGGCCAAGTTAGTATCAAAGGAAAGCATGTGCGTGTGCTTGTGTGCATATCCTAGCATGCATCTGTGCGTCTGTCTGGACAGCGTACGCCTGTGTCAGCATGTGTACATGTGTGTGCATGTGTGAGTAGGGGTGCATTTGTGTCCCTAAGTGAGCCCGCACGTGTGTGACGCTGAGAGTGTGGAGTGGAGGCGTTGGGGAGGGGTGCCAGGGCTCTGTCTGATGCACCCGCCTTCAGTTCCTGCTGCAGCTGCTTATGAAGGCAGGCTGGCTCTGGTGGATAATGTGGGGAGTGCCACGCTGAGGCCAGGTTCTTGTGAGTCCGAAGACCGTCCTAGTGGGACTCCTCAGAAGGGCTGCGCTGCACCTTGCCTTGGCCTAGCCATCTCATCCACCTGTGGAGGGGAATGCCCAGACGGGCAGAGACGGGAGGCCTCACAGCAAGTTGAACTTGAAAGAGACTGAGCAGCCTGACCCTGCTCTGAGGTGGAAACACATGGAAGAAGCTTTCAGAGAAGCAGAGTGCCAGGCCACCATGACAGTGGCCACCAGGATGAGCCCCTTTGTGGAAGAACCTTGTTCAGAATCCTGCTGGGGCTGCTTTTCGCCTTTGGGGCATTCTTGACTCTGCTTGGGCTGTAGCTGCCTCTCACGTGTGGCCCAGCTTTCCCCAATCCGAACCCCCACTCCCCAACCCTTTGTCTCTGCTACCCTGAGGTGTGGTGAGAGAGCCTTCACTGCCTGGTACCTCCCACTGGCCCTGAGAGGTAACTCAGGCTAAGAGAGGCCTTCAGAGAGCTGGGAAAGTAAAGAAGGGCAAGAAAAAACATCCACAAAGAGCTCTGGGGAGGGTGCGGAACATTTTCCTGACCAGATCAGGCCACCCGCTGTTGGGGAGACTTGAGTAACCTGTCTGGGGTCAGGCTTTGGGAGATCTCTCTCCACACCCTCCACCACCAGTCCTCACTTTGACCTGCCATATAACACCACCTGTTGCCCTTTTCTCCTTCCACTTCCCTCTCCTGCCCCTCCCCTTCTGCTCCCCTGCTCCCCTTCCCCAGCGCTGACTACCAGGAACGCTTCAACCCCAATGCTCTGAAGGACTCAGCCCTGTCGACCCACAAGCCCATCGAGGTGAAGGGGCTGGGTGGCAAGGCCACCATCATCCATGCACAATACAACACGCCCATCAGCATGTACTCCCAGGACGCCATCATGGATGCCATCGCCGGGCAGGCCCAGGCCCAGGGCAGTGACTTCAGTGGGTAAGCTCCTCCCCTCCTCCACCGTGGCTCATCGTTCAACGCCTCCACCAATGCTGGGCCTCTTCACCTGCAGAGGCCAAGGGCCCTAGGCCGCAGGGCGCCTTCGGAGACTTTAGGCATCTGGACCAGCATTCAGCCCTCATCTTGGGCTTCCCGGGGCACAGTCCTCAGAGGGAAACCAGCCTCCACCAGGGCTTTCCAGAACATGATGTTTACTCTTCAGAATCCATATAATGGTCAGCTTTAGAAGGGTGGAGAAATGCAGACTATGTTGGCTCCTCCAAGTGCTTTTCACAGCCTCTGCATTTCCCCAGGCTGCATGAGGGGGCTGACTTAGAAAGACTTCTGGAACCCTTTTAACCAGGGTCATAATCTGGATGATCCAGTCCTATCACAACCAAGCTGTTCTTCGGTGGTAGTGGTGGGGAGTAGCTGTGTTCTTCCAACTGTGAGAGCGATTCAAGCACATGACTGGGTTTCTTGTTTGGGAAGGGGTCTCTGGACCAAACACCATTTACTGTTGGCAGTCAGCCCCGCTGTGGAGCCTGGGGAGCCCTCAGTGCTGGGCACCCTTGCTCCTGTTGGCCCCAGGGCAGTGGGGTTTAGGGCATCCTACGCCTGCTGTTTGCCTGTGAGTGATGGCGGAGGAACCTGAAGACTGAGTATGAAAAGAATTGACTGAAAATCATTTGTGGGTGAAACTGCTAATAGTATGAACATTAATGAGGACCTCTCTGTTTTCTTTCTGTTTTTGTCTGTGTGTGTGTATGTGTGTGCATGTCTCTCTCTGTCTCCTTTTTGTCTCTGTCTCTCTATATCTCCCTTTCTGTCTCTTTCTCTGTCACTGCTTTCTCTCTCTTTCCCTCTCCCTCCATCCCTCCCTCTGTCTCTCTCTCTCTCTGTCTCTCTCTCACTTTCTCTCTCTCTATATGTATGCATCTATCTCTTTTCCTCTGTCTCTTGTCATTCTTCCTTTCATGCACACACACACACACACACACACACACGCACCCTCATAGTCTCTTGCTGTTTCTGTTTGAGAATGCCATTACCGTAGACTTTCAAAATTGACTGATTATATCTTTGGGAAACATCTTACCCCTGAGTCAGGATCCTTAGCAACTCAAGGCAAAAAAATCTTCTAATGATGGCTGTACTTTTTCTGAAACTAGGGAAAATGGCTGTTGTAAGAGGGATGGAAGGGTTGCCAAAACCTAGGCCTGTAACACTGTCAAATGCACAAGTTAAGGGCAGGCTCCAGAAAGCAAAGGATGGGAGACACACCCCCAATCACCCCCCAAACCCCCGACCAGCCTCAGGGACGCAGTACCACCTTTTGACCAGCAGGGGGCAGAGGTTGCTGAAGCCATGAGTCAAATCGGGCAGCAGCTCTTCACAGAACTCTGCACGATGTTGATTAATTTAATTCCATCATTCATAGCAGAAAATATGACCATGCAAGTTTAAAAACATCACCATTAGCTCATGTGTATCCAGAAAAGGCTGCCTGACTAAGCCAAGGAGCTAGCAGGGATTTCCTGTTAACATTTGTCTGCCATGTGTGTCCTTGGTGTGCTCTTAATAGTGGTAGCGGTTACCAAAGGGGAATTAAGTGAAAAATAATGGAAGAATTGCACTTCACTAACTTTATTTTTTATACCTTGGGAAAAGACTGCTCTCATTTGGTTTTGCTACTACAGTATCCATGACTTTTTTTTTTTTAACGTGAAGCACCATGAATCTAATCCAGGCGTTTCAGAGGATCTGCCCTATCTTCCTCTCCTCCACTCTCCTCCCTTTGCCTTCCCTTTCGTGCCTGGGAAGCAACATTCTTTTCCTTCCTTCTAACTCAGCCCTGCTGAGCTGATGCTGCTGTGGTGCCAGGGGGTAAGAGCTGCCCTTCTCTGCCATCAGGTGCTCCATTTCTGCTGTTAATTTTCTCGATTCCTTCCTCACTGACAATTTTCTTTTTGTCTCTCTCTCTTCTTCCTTTATTCACTCCACTCCCGTAACTCATTTCTCATCCTAACCCTGCTCCCTTGTGTGCGCACCGTCCCTCTGCTATCCCATGATGGACATTCGCTCCCTGCTGGGCTTCCCTCTGCTTGGCAGGGCATCGCCGTTGGCGTAAGTAGACCCACAGTGTCTGTTCCGTCGTCCGTCTGTCTGGTTGCGGGATAGTGAGCAGGTTTAATGGGCTATGTGTGTGGAAAGTGGCCACTGACTCTGTCCATGCTCTGCCATGTATCCACCTCACCTGACGTGATATATTTTGGATTTTGCCCCAAATAATCTCATTATGGACACAGAACTCAGCGTTATGACACTCACACTGCCTGCCCCCCTCCGCAACCAAGGCTGGGCTAGAATCCTGTGTTCTCTTAATTGAGCCATACGGGGGTTCCCCACAACCTTTCCTGTCTGCGAGGGTCAGTGTAGACCTGAATGTCAGAGTCTATACTGGGCCCTTATTCAGGGAAAAGGGTGGGAAGGGGGCCTCTTGGAAGTCACTCCCCAGAATCCTTGTGAGAGTGGAGGAGCCAGCCCCTGCCAGTACCATCCATGGGAGATGAAAGATGAGTCAGATTTGGGGGCAGCGCACAGGGGAGTATATGCCCAGAGGTGACCTTGACACTGACCATGGAGTATTTCAGTGATGGGATTCCAGAGAGCCATCTCGGGCCCAGGGTCCCTGCACTGCAGGGCCCGTCCCATCCTCTCTTTGTATATATTTTCCCTGAGCCCTGGTGTTTTCAAAATCATTGTGGCTGTCCTCTCCCTGATTCCCAGTCTCTGTCATGGCAGCAACTCAAGCCCCGAGTCTTTGCACAGCATGGTAGGAAATGAAGCAAACAATGTGAACCCTGAGGGAATCACTCCTGGCAGCTTTCTTGACCCATTGGAACTGTGAGAGGACAGGGGAGCTCCTCAAGGGCACATTCCAGAAATGGCAGCAAGCACTGTCCATCTTCTTTCTGGACCACAAAGTTCATGTAGACAGACTCCAGGGCCAGGCCTGGACTCGGGTCCACATCCTTCCTCTCCCACAGTGCAAGCCACACTTCCCCTTTCCTCCCATCTTCTAGAAGACCAGGGAGTCCTGGTTGTGCCTTCTTAGTCTCCAAAAGCCTCAGTAGCCCCGGATTCTGTTCTAGGGTCCTTGGGATGCCTCCCTAGTCCAGAAATGGCCACCTCCAGTGAGATCCCACATTCCTCTCTGCTCCTTGGGCTGCCCAGGTTCCTGCCTGCCTGAACCCCAGATGTCTCTTCTGGTTTTCCCCATCTAACCCAAATCACAGGCTGCCAGAACTTATAACTCCCTGGGAAATGTCTCCAGCAAAGTAGGGGAAACTCTACCTAATTTTGGTCACTTGTCGTCTTATACTCCTGCTCTCATTACCCACCTTGAGCCAGGCATAGGGGGCCAATTCTGAGAATGCCAATCCTGGGACACTAGGCCAGTTCTTCAGTTCAATTCCTTGCAGAAAAAACAGAAGACATGAAGAGGCAGGTAGAAACAGCCATAGTGGCAGGCAGGCATGGGGGATGCCAAACAGGCCAGTTTCTGGGCTGAGCGATATCTTCAGATGTGGAGCCACTCAGAAGTGTTCTTCCCGAACACTGACCCTGGAGAGGGTCTGATGAAAACGATACTGGGTAGGGAGCCAGGGAACCTGGGATCTAATTCAGCAGAGCCCCTCTGTATTTTAACTTGGAGCTAGTTCACTAGTCTCTCTGAACCTCAGTTTCAGCATGTGTAAGAGAAGAAGACAGGGCCACTGGCCCATAGTCTGGGGAGGCCATTACTGCTATGAGTTTCTCCAGATCCCTCCCTGACTCCAGAGAGGGTGGGGTGGATGGAATGAGTGAGCATCCTGAAGCTTTTGTCATGTCCTACTTTGTGGACTGATCTGGGACAGAAGGCGCTGGTCCCAAGGGGCTCCGTTCTAGGATTCTGCAATTCAAGCAAGTCTTGGGTATCTACTATGTGCCAGATCCTGGAAGTCAAAGAGAAGTCACCAAATCCTTCTCAGAGCCCGCACTGTCTGGGGGCAGAGACTAGCGCCCTTCCCTGTGGCTCTACTCCCAGCTCCCCAGGCTGGAAACCTCAGTGTTAGCAGCAATGATGATGCCGGGCCACACAGGCCTGCTCACCCCGTTCCTCACACCATATCCTCACTGAGCCTGCCTGTGGGTGGCTGAACTGGGGATCTCAGTCCTCTTCCAGGACAGTCATGGCATTGGTGGCTCCCTGTTTGGATCCGGAAGTGTGAGGAGGGCAAAAGGATGACCATGAGTAATCTCTGGGTCCCTAGAATGGCCTGCCCTCACCCAGCCCAGACCCAGGCAGGGCCTGCTTAGGAAAGAACAAATTAGTTCCAGCAGATCTCTTCTGCTTCCTCTCTCCTTAATCCCTAGGACAGGTTTTCTTCCAGCCTTGCCTCTGGAATCATTGGGAATGGGGTGGTAGGAGGGATCTGAGCCTTCATGAGAGGATTCGCTATCTCGCCGTGACCACCCTGAGCACTGAAGACCCAGGTCGAGCCTTTGTCCCAGGCTCTGAAATGGCAGTGGGGAAAGGGCCTGGTGGGTTCGGACAAGAAGAGCCCACCGATGGGTGCGGGGAAGCGAGGGCAGGGTTCTGGCCTAGCCCTTGCCCACAGCCTCTTTCCACATTGCAGGAGCCTTCCTATGAAAGACCTCGCTGTAGACAGCGCCTCACCTGTCTATCAGGCTGTGATTAAGAACCAGAACAAGCCTGAAGACGAGGCTGATGAGTGGGCCCGCCGCTCCTCCAACCTGCAGTCTCGCTCCTTCCGCATCCTGGCTCAGATGACAGGGACAGAATTTAGTAAGTGAGGGTGTGGGATGGGGCAGAAGGGGGCGATGCTGGGGTGTCTTGGCCACAGGGGTGAGGCTCACAGAAGCTAGGGATTCAAGCCCTCCCCCGTCCCTGAAGATGAGCTAGCCTTGATAGTGACCTGCTGAGCCTCTTCTGGGCCCTGCATGGCAGGTAAATGTCCTCAGGCTTCTGCTCGGCTCCAGCAGTGGTGAAGTGCCTGTCCAGAACTGGGATATGAGGACCTGGCAGGCCATACCTCTGAACACCTCCTCCTCCTGCTCCATTTCCTTTCATGGCCCTTTTCCCCTGATCTGCAGACCAGCACACAGCCTTTCCCTCTACAGTTGACAGGCTAGGGCAGTATCTGTTCAGTCCCCAGTGGTGACTCTATGCCCACAGAATTCTTCCTATGTCCCTGTGATTCTTCCTGACCAATGCCTTTCTACCCACAGTGCAAGACCCTGATGAAGAAGCTTTGCGAAGGTCAAGGTAAGTGCCTATACTCTGGCTCTGTGGCCTTGCCCCACCTAACCCCATCCCTTCCCCAGGAAGCCCCTAGGTCATAGGACTCCAAAAGGAAACTCTTCAAGTTCATGTATTTGGAAATTCCTGGAAATTTGGAAATTCCATTTATTTGGAAATCCCTAAAGGGCTCCAGTAGATGCTGGCTTGGAGCCAATCACCCCAGGTCAGTGAGGTGATGCCTGGAGCTAGTTGCATCTCTAGCTCCAGGTCCAGACCGCAGAAGTGAGGACTCTGGGCTCTCCTGGCTCTGCCCCAGGGCAGGGGGCAGGGCTGCTTTGGCCTTTGCTGGGCTGTTGAGAACAAGGGCATCTCTTCCTGTGAGGGCACTGGGCCAGCTGCCTTGCCTGCCCACTCATCTCAGGGCCTGTCCCCAATGCGTCTGAAAGCTAGGCACTAGGAAGCAGGCACAGAAGACTGTGCTGGGTGTGGGCACCTGACCCCTGGACTCACCTGTCTAAACCCATGTTCAGATGTCGGTTCTATAAATTGCTGGAAACACAACAGTTACCACAAGGAAGGATAAGCCCTGGGTGTGAGTAGGGGTTTTTCAGGGGCAAGGTATCTCAGGGTGTGGTTCCCTGTCAGGGGTAGACATGAGGCCACAGCCACTAACTACCACCTGCAGCTGTGAGGTACTCATGGCCTTAGGCCTAGAGAGCACACTGCCCCGGACCCAATGGAACCTTCCATGCTAGGGTCTTCCATGACGAGATGTGGAGTTTAGTATGGTTGTGCTTATACTTCCTGCAGCGAAGGTGACCTGCGTGCTCCTCATGGGAGAGCTGCTTTGTTCCAGCACATTTAGCCGCCTCCAAGGAGGAGCTGGGCCCTAGTGGTATTTTTTGACCCTGGCCCAGCCGTCCTGTACTTGCTAACCATTGCACCATGGCCACAGGACTGTGCAGAGAATGGGTCTCCTGGGTCAACTAGAATTGATGTGGATTTTATTTCTGAACCTGTATCGTTGCCAATCTAAGTTATTCCCACTCTTGGCTGGGGTGTCCAGTCCTAAAGTGTGGTCTTCCCAGGCCTGGCAGTGATGACGTGCAGCCCAGTGCTGCTTAACTTTTCGGTGTCTGCAACATGTCTATGCAGAGCCTGAAACCAGACGATGCTTGATTTAGCTCAGAAGTCAATCCTCGGGCTATGTGAAGTGTGCCTGGGCTGTCTGCTTTCACCCCTCCCCCACTCCACTGTGCCTTTGCCATGTTTCTGTGTTTGTTCCTCTTGGAAGTGGCCCACATAGATGGTCCAGGGAAGCTATGTGGATTTTCCCAAAGATTTGATAGGCCTTATATCGCACAATCCTCAGCAAACAGTGTTAAAGCTCTAAGGTTCCTTTCATCCAAGAGCTAACAGGGGGTTCAGAGTCCTGTCTTTCTAGCTCCCTGTTCTCTCCCCTCCCCAGGGGTACTTCTGATCATCTCATGTTACTCTGAGCAATCACACCTCATCAACCAGATACTATTTAAATATGAAGAGAACTGCTAGAGATAGATCACAGAGAATACATGTCTTCTATAGTTGCCCTATTTTTGCAGGGCACAAGCCTCCTGATTCTCTCTCTCCCTCCTCCTGACTTTAATTTCTGGAAGGTCTTCCTCATACCTGCCCTGCCCCGCAAATGCCCATCCTCCCCATGGCCACAGGAGGACGGCAGGTATTTTCTTTTCACTGAATCACTGAATCTTGAGTAGCCTATGGACCCAGGGCTGGGGGCAGGGTGGAGAGTGCAGTGTGTACAGCAGCTCAGTTCTGTTTGTGATTAAAGCCTGAAGCAGCTGGGGGGCCAGCTTCACCTGAGTGGCCCTCTGAGCAGAAGGGGGCATGCTTGTCGCCACCTTGAGTCCAGGATGGGCAGGGAGCTTGCTTTTCAGGTAGCTGAGTCACACTTTCATCTGCCTCCACTCCTGAATCAGAAGATGCACCCCCAGCCTCAATTACCCATCTTGTTAACTGGGGGCAGCCCAGGTTTGTTACCTTTCTTCTCCCAAATTAGCACCACTGACAGTGAGTATGCAGATCTCTCAGGAAGGCTATGTCTCCCCGCATTGCACATGGCTTCTGTGTAACTTACCCCAGCAGAGTGTGCTAAACTGGGCCCAGCAACCTGGTGTCGTCTCCTTCCCAGTGCTGCGTGGTGGGAAAGCTGGCAGGAGTGCCACATGAGTGCTAGCACAAGTTCTGTGCAGGCAAGAGCACTTGTGGCCTTGACGCAGGTGTAAATCTGTTTGTCAGAGGACCCTGCAAACTCCCCTCACCTGTTACTGCTTCCCCCACCAAGAGTTTCAGAGCAGCTCCAGCCCTGGCCAGCCTGGCCCAGCCCTTCCCTCCCTCCTCTCAAGCCCTGGCTTTCTGGTACATGGTAGCAGGTAGCTTCCCTCTGAAGCTCCAGCTCTCATTTGTCACCAGCCCAGGTGGAGCCTAATCAGCAGGGGTCCTATCTCTATAGGTGAGGCAGGGTGGACCCCTGAACAGCCCAGGTATCAGCCTTGGACTTGGTTCTTCTCCCAGGAAAGACCCCAGCACCTTAGCAAAATGACCAGGTGAGCTTATACATTAGCCTTCTGTCTGCTTCCACATGGGACCTGCTCTGGGGGGTGCAGGTAATGCTGTGTCTCCTGTACTCCATCTGCTGTCACAGGGCACAACCAGTGCCTCCATCTCAAAGCTGAGCCCTAGATTTGCTCTGACATGGAGAAGGCAATCTAGGGCCTGGTGGCCTAGCAGACTGGGCCTACATTGGGCAACTCTGACAAGAAAGGGAATGGGAGCAAGCCCGGCTCCATCCTAGGCAGAATCTGAAACTGCAAGACCTCTGAATATCCCATGTGTGGGTGTAACCAGCCAGAGAATTTTGTGATGCAGACATCCTCTGACCACTACCACTACCTTGTGGTGCAGCCACTACATATGCAGTCTCTGTGTTTACCTGATGCTCACCTGGTAAAGAACTGCAGCTCTCCTAATCCCCAGGTATTAAGGAACAAAGTCAGTTTTAGTGAGGCATTCACAGAGGAGCTGAAGTTGAGGCTTGCTTGGCACACCCCTCAGCAAACAATGTAAAAATCCTTTCAAGTCCCTTCTCTATTATGCAACCATCAACTATTCTTGTTTTGCTCCCTTCTGATAGCTCAGGGACTCACTGGCTCCTCCTTCCTGCAAACTCCTGGGCATTTCACTGTCCTCTTCCCTCCTCCCTGTGCATGGTCTGGTCAGCTCTGTCCCAGTTCTCAGGGGGCTGGCACAGCTCAGGGGCCTTCCCTTAAATGGAACTCTCATGAAGGAACAATGGGCAGCTCTTGGTAACAAAGACTGATTGCATCTGTGTACTGGGCAGTTCCTCCAAGATGCAGGTTGTTGCTGCCTATCATGTTGTCTGCAGGGCTGTGCCAGCCTTGCCCTCAGCTCCTTCTCCCTGACCTCAAAGGGGCACATAGATCGTGGTTCTGGCCCTGAGCTTCTGTGTGTCTTTAGGCCATTCACGTGACATCTCTGGGCCTCAGTGTCCTCTGGATATTAGGAAAGGTGGGGCTGGACTGGTGGTTTTCTAATACATTACTTAGTAATCTATTAGAAGTAGACTTGTTTTTTCAAATAGACTCTTACACAGTGACCCAATAGGCAGGCCTCCTTGTCTACAGAGGGGAAGCCAGGCAGGTAGTGCAGATGTGGGTAAGTTATACCTGTATCCCCAGGTATAAATTTGGGGATATGAGACTGTTACCAGGGAGAAATGTAAGACCAGCATTGCCCCATCCTCTGATTTCTAAAGATCTAAAACAGATCTTCCTGATTTTCATATGCTGGCAACTCACACATTAATTTAACTATTTTAAAATATTGCAAATTGACATGCGTTTATAAGAAATAATACAGAGAGAGGTCCCATGCATGCTTTATCCCCAACGGCGAATCCCCATCTTGCTGTAATTGTATTTCAATACCACAACCAGAATGTTGACATCAGAACATCACCCTGAGAATGTCCCCGCGGTGCCCTGTTGCAGCCACACCCTAGCCTATATACCATCCCCTTAACCTCTGGCAACCACTAATCTTTATCTGTTCTCCATTTCTATCATTTGTCATTTCAAGAATGTTAGATAAATGGAATCATACAGCATGTGACCTTGTGGGATCGGCTTTTTTTTTAATTAATTCCCTGAGACTTCATTCCAGTTGTTGAGTATATCAGTGGTTCGGTTGTGCCTTTTTATTTCTGAGTGGTAGTCCATGGTCTGGATGTAGCAATTATTTTTTTCAAGTGAGCTTCCAACCCTGTCCAGGTTAAGCAAACAGCATTTGTGGCTAGGTGAGACCCCTGGGCCAGCAATTTTTACCTCTGTTCTGGAGGACATAGCAACCGTCCAGTCTGGCAGGTCTAGGATTCTGACATCTGCAGCACAAACCTTCCCCAGCTACTTTCCCTGCTCCATTTCTGTATTTCTTGGCTGCTCCTTGCCTATTTTGCCCTGTACCCTGGGCTGAACAGCCTGTGGGTTGAGCCCCAGAGGAACAGCTGGCAGGAAGTGAGGGGGAGTCCTGGCCCTCTGCACATGTGCCAGTAGCCTTGTGAGTATGTGTGTGCACATGTGTGCCTGGCCATGCTCCTGCCTGGGTGGGCAGGGAGTAGTTGGTGGTGTATGAAGACTTCAGGGATAGAGAAAGCTTGGCAGAGACTGGGACAGCACAGGGAGGTGACAAGTCTGCTCACCAAACCTCATCATGGGGACAGGTGTTCCTCCTTCTTGAAGCCCAGCTAGGGGACTCAATGCTTGGCCCCTCTGCCTATTTGGTTCATTCTGAGAACTCGCAGCCAAAGCAGCCCTGCTCACCTCTAAGCACACAGCCCAGGGAGAGCCCAGGGTTACCCCTCCTTTGCCCAGCCTGCCCTGAGGCCCACTAGTCAGGCCTCTTTCTTCAGGGCCCTTACTCCCTCAGGTCAGGAACTTCAGTCCCTC